TGGTTCAAAGAAAAGAAAACCTTCCACAAATAAAAATTGTGTCATCATTTAAACACCCTGATGTAGTTTCAAACCTGTAAGGATTTCTTTATTCTGTTGAACGCTGACCTCCATAGTAGGAAAAACAAATACTATTGTTACTGGTCAATGGTTACAGGTTTTTTACATATAAAAAAATGGTATTATAATTCTGAGTTATTGACCCTTTGAGTCCCCATGAGTTTATAAAAACAAGTACACATACACACTAGTAAAGATGTCTTAAAGGGGACTTCCTATAAACGTATATACAGACATTGCACAAGCTGAATATCCTATCCCCCACCCAAAAGACTACCCCTAATACGAAAAATTCAGCATTTTTACATTTTCTAAATATTTAATTCTACATGATTTATGAGCCATTTTTCTCATGGGGACAAAAAATGTCTCTAGAAGGTCATAATTTACTGCTATTGCTATACTTGTGGGGACATTTGAAAAGGAGAAAGTCATTCAAAGTGTTTCTGCTGATTGCTTTTTATGAAGTTTGATTATAAAAAATAGATTTTTTTCCATAAGAGGCTGGCTATATTCATACACTGTTGACACACAACTGTGTTTAAACCCTTTATAAAAGTGTTTTTGCATAATGAAGCAATATCCATGTGTCCCATAGAAAGCCTTTGTTTCAAACACACACACACATACACGGACCACACAATATGACACCTCTCATTCATACACCCCTCCTCAAGAAAAAGCCCTGAAGGTGAAGGTCACGTCATTTATTTGCGTTTGCAGTAAACAGGTCTGAGGCAGACTGATAGGGCAAGGTTATTATCCTGAAGAGCACAGCTCTGATTGATCGCTCGGCTCTCGGTCTGCTCTGCGCTGGGAGGACGTACCGAGTGGCCGCTCTTCTATTATGCTGTTGCTCATAGCAGGAGGAGAGAATCAGGACAGTTGGAGTCCGCTCTCTGCTGGAGGCGTCTGATCAGAAGCCTCATTATGCCTCACCTATGGAGAAGCGGTCATTTGACTGTAGTCTCTTCACTGACACAGAGAGGGGTTTCTTAAAGGGACACTTCACTCAAAAATAAGTCTATAAAGCATTGTTCACACTATCAGCGACTTTATAGATGCTTTTCACCATGGGTGGTGGCTGTAGGCGCTAGTGGGCGTTACCGAGGTTGCTTAGGAAATATTTATGAATGAGTTCCACTGAGTTTTCCTGCCACTGAAAGTTAACATTATGAAGGGCAAACACTAAATATAAATGGAATCAACACAAAACATGCTTATTTAAGAAGATAAACCAGAAAAACACATGTGCTCTGTCATTGTGGTTATGTATCCGTGATAAAAGTCAGTCTGTGTAGGTCTACATCACAGAGAATACAACCAGCTGTGCTGGTGCAGGAGCTGGCAGATGATCATGTGATCTAATGAAAATTATCATATGCATTTGTTTATGTGGCAAAACTGTGTTTTTCACCAAAAAGGCCCATACTGACTCCAAAAGCAGATACTAGTGAGATCAAGACCTAGTGTGTGAACTTTGGGGGTTTTACAATGTGGTCACATGTTGATTGGTCAGTTTTCAAAGTCTCATTATTTGGGCTTTGGTCACATGGTCAAGAAAGATACAAAATAGCTGTTCAACTTTGCTCTGGCTCTCTTTTCCTGCCCTGCATCTCTCCTGCTCTGCTTCTCTCCTGCTCTGGAGGCTTCTTCTGTGGCTCTACTGCTATCAGGCTCTCTTTAAGGCCTACTTACTGCTCTTTGTCTCTCTCTCCCTCCCCTGTCTCTCATTTTCTCCCTGGTACCTTTATATTACATTTAAGCTGGGCACAATTAATATCATATGTTTTAATCATTTCATGTTTTATCATTTTACACAGTTATTTTATAACTAATTCAGTTGTAACCATCAAGAATTATTGTCATTAAATAATTTCATTTTTAAGCATGTTAAACTGTATGAACTGGTTCACAGTAGTATACTGTTTTTATTTGTTAAATAGAAATCATTATTAAGGATTTTGGATTCTTTGATGAATAAAAACCAAACAAAGCAATATCTTCAACATTTTTGTAAAGTAAAACACTCGGAATGCCCCAAATGATTCACATCAATTAAATAAAGTCAATTAAAAAGCAGAGAAAGCCATGCATTTTATTGTATTGGAAAACAAGAACTAAACCTTCTGTCTTATCCCTTTAAGCCTGCTGTGAGCTACAGAGTGTTCGCACTGTTCACTCTTTTTTTTTCTCTCAGCTTGCCAGACATGCAATTTTCTGCTGAGTCCACCTTAGTACCCAAAGCCTTCTTGCCATCCTTCTGAAATTAGCCCACTGTAAGCCACAGCCATTTACACAGGAAAAAACATATGGAGGCATGTTAGAGGATAAGCCTGCCAGATGACAGCAGGCGGTGCTGGCGGAAAGATATAAAGGAGACAGAGAAAGCGAGAGAAGAGAGAGAGAGAGAGCTCAGTGAGTGAGTTCAACTCTGAGTTACCTCATCTCAAGCCAGATCTTTTAGCACAAGCTTGTGTGTATGAGGGTCAGAGGACATCTCAGAGAAGACAGCGGCCCATAAAGATCCACGTCCAGCATTTCTCACATATATCTGAACTTTACAAGACTCTGCTGGATAATGCACTGAGAAACTTTTACCGCTGTAAATGTCCTTTAAGGAACAGTTCACTCGAAATGGAAGATTCTATCTTCATTTACTGAGGGATTTTTGTATGCGGCTGTTGAACGCAAAATCATTCAAGCCACAAGCAATGGCCAGGGGCTGTCAAAACTTCAAAAAAGGGGCACAACAAAAGAGGTCATTATCAACTGTGCACTATATTTCATCTATTGTAGTCATTGAATAGTGAATAATACACCAAAAGTTGCTATAATCAAACACTCAATGTACAGTACGCAAATGTCATGTTGTAATGTTTTTTTAATATGGATACTTGTGAATATTAATTAAAATACCAGCAAGTTGGGATTTTAAACATTTTGATAACACTTTAGTTTAGGTCACAATTTGAGCTATTACTACTGGCTTATTACCTGCCTATAAGATATTAACCATCCATCTGTAGTTATAAAATATGATCTTATTTTGCATCCCTAATGCTACGTAAAACCTAAACCCAACTTCTACCTTACTTACTGTCAGTGATGGGAATAACCAGCCAGATCTCACGAGGAAACGTAAGTATTTTGCGTTTTGACAGTTTAGAGGCTAATTTGTACGAATTGAATGAGTTGAGTCGTATGAAAATGTACGATTTTAAAAAGGGGGCGTGGCACTCAACCCCACGTCTAAGCCCAACTGTCATTGGGTGATGAGCAAATCGTACTAAAGTGTACAAATGAAATCGTACGAATTTACACTAATTAGCCGCTAAATCAAAAAGTTACGAATTGCCATGAGACTCCATTGGAATATCGGCACTATAAATAAATGGCATAACTAATGGTGATATTTTTTTCAGTAACAAGTAATCAAATTAAATACTGTTTCCCCCGTTACAAGGCAGTTACTGTTACTGACACAATAAAATGCGCGTTACTATAATTGAGATCACTGAAGCGGTTTTCATGCGAGCAGAGTCTTTCTTAATCATTGGACCTCTCTTTCTCTGGGGTGTGTGTACTGTATGTGTGTGATCGGGGCTGGGGCGGGACATATAACCAACCAGTGACGATGATTGGCCTGTCTGTGAACATGGTGTAACTGAGAACATAGTGGCTGGCTTAGATAAGAGTCAATTTCCATTGTTTGCCAATCAGAAGCAGAGTAGTGCGGGCGTTCACAAACAAGCACTCGCAAAGTCAGTTTCACACACCAACTGCCAGGAGCCAGATGATGGCAAATATAACAAATGTAAAGGAAGCGTTTGCAAACTTTAAATATAAACACTACTTTTCTCTTATTGAGGTGAAAGGCAGGGATATTTATGTATCGTGCAACTTAAGCCCAGGAAATTTCTGCGTCGGTGGCAAGTAAATCTAAACTAATGAAGCACCTCAAGTCTTGTGGTCTTTGCAATAAATACTTGAAGTTCTAAACCATCTATTATTTTTATTGTGCAACTATAGTAATGATAATACGTAATGATAATATTTATAATGCTATGCTGAATTTGATAATTATCTCTCACATTTTTTAAAGTAATACAATAACCTCCTAGGACCTACAGGCATACAGTGTCATCCTGCAACTGTTTTACAGCATATGAAATGTCGCAAAAAAAATAGTTTTTACACTCTGATAGTCAAAAAAAAAAAACATTTTATGTTAAATACACAATTAAAACATTCAGGAAAGAGTATTTTATGTAAATTCAGACCACGAGTCCACATATATGGACATACTTTTTCTCTAAAAGTACATCATATCAAAAGATGATACTTAAATTTTTATTCTAATAAGGGTTCAATAAGCCTTTTAAGAGAAGTAAAGAGAAGTAAAAAACATGCATGTAAAAAAACACCTTGGGCCTTAAGAGGATGGTTACTTTCCATGGTAATTAGTTACTTTTATAACAGTCTTATTTAGTTACTAACTCTATCACAGTACTATTTATGAGAAGTAACTAGTAGCTATAACTAATTACTCTTGAAGGAACATGCCCAACGCTATTAACTATTTATTAACGGGGAGTTAGAAGTTTATTGAGCTAGTGGTGTTAATTAATGGATTGTTAATACTGTGAATTTTGACCTAAAATAAAGTGTTACCCACATTTTCTTCTAAGATATACTTTTAATCACAAAAACATTTTTTTTTACTTAAATTGTTGTCAATCCCTAACTTCAGAACACATAAAATATTCAGAATGGGTGGTATAGACAACTTTTATGATGGATTTAAACTGACTTAAACAGAAATCATTTTAAAAACAAGACAAAAACTCTAAGCAATATTTGTTTTTTGCTCTAGCTTTGCAAGTTCTACAAAGAAAATGTAAAATATTTTGTTAAAAATTTGTTTTTGGGACGACGTGTAAAAAAAAAAAATTGTGAAGTATACCTTTAAGAGCTAAAGCTGGTGGATTTAACGGATAATCGGTAGAAACTCCAAACTTCCACTGAAACATCTGCTCCGAGAAAACGCACTGCCAAAAAATGATTGGCAGAGATTCGGTTGTTAAGTGAGGTCTGTTCACTGTCTAATGAGAGCTCCATGAAGAGAGAGCAAGCAGAGAATAATGCACATGTTGGCAAGTGTATCAAATATTCGGTGTGTGTGTTTTGTCAACTATACGACTGCATAGAACATGGTTTCAGCCTTGCATATGCGAAACAGCATCACATGACCTGAGCATGCTCAACTGCCCAGGGAACACCGTACAAAAATGATAGATATTCAGTTCAAATCCCCACAAACAAATGAGTAAAACTCTGGATCCAGCACCCACGCTGTTTGTTGTGTGTGTATATGTGTGTATGAGTGAAGATAAATCACACACACGCACACACACACTCAGCGGGGCCATGCCAGGGCGCAGAAAAGCAGAAAAGGGCCCTGCAGTCTACCTGTGATGGCAGTGGTTCCCAGCATGGGGGAAGATTAATGCCGGCACTCTGGAGCAGAGCAAACATCCCGAGCTTAATAAGGTACAAACAATTGCTTCCATTTTGTTTGCTATCAAGGGAAAAACTAAACTCAGGCTGCTGAGGTGTATTTTTTCATTCTCAAATGTGGACTAGAAAAGTTGCAGCCGACTTGAGGACTCGCTGTACATGTTCAACAACTTCAAAAACCACAGCGCTCACATCCAGGCGAGAGGTCTTCCTTTTTCTTAAGTGCGCCCATTATATGCACCTGAATGCTTCGGAATCGAGTCGATGTGTTTGTGTGCGCTACGGTGCGGACGAACAGCCTCACCTCCACTCCTTGCACTTTAAGCTTCATGTGATCCTCCCGCGTGGTCTTCCCATCTTTCCTTTTTTTCCAGCAGTAGCCGTCCTTTCTGTACTTCACCTTCTTTCTATTGTAAAGGATCATCGACCCATTCTGTGGCCTAGATCCAGAAGTGAGGGAAATGGTAAGAGAAGGGGTGGATGGAAGGAAGGAAGAAAGAAAAGAGATGGGGTGGGGAGGGAAGGGAGAGGAAGAGAAATTTTTAGTGCTGAGGGACTCATTCGGCAGAAGAACACAAAGAAGGCTGACTCAAAGCAGAGAGAGAGAGGGACAAGCCGAGCTGCACTGAGTAACACCTCACACAGATGCATAGGGCTGTTTATGGACGTACAGAATTAAAAAGGAAGCATTTAAGGTGCCACAGAATGGCTTTTAAAAGCATATTACCTCTTAAAGGTGACCAAGAATTGAATCATAAATTTACATATGCCTGAAAGAATCTGCAACTTGTTTGACATTTTTATAATTAGAGGAATTTATGTCTGAAAGTTTTTGCTTGTTTTTAGTTCTTTGGTTTGGAGTCAGTACGTTTTTTTAAGATAAATAAATACTTTTATTTAGCAAATAACAAAATTTTCATTCATTATTTATTTATTTATTTAATTTTTTTTTTTTTTTTTTTGCTGTTATACAGAGAGGGGCATAAAGGAAAGTCCAGACCTAAAAAACAGCTGAAGATGAAGCAGAAACAAGTAGAAGTATTATTGATACACATTCAAGCTAATACACAGCAAAAAAAAAATATATATATATATGATCAATTAGTCCTGATAGCATATGTTTATAGGTCATTGTAACTTAACAAACTTGATTGTGTTCTACTTTGATTTGATATGTTACACAAGCTATTTTAAGTCAGTTTAACATAATAATGTATAAGTTCAATGAACTTATAAGGTTAATTTAGTTCAGCTTAAAAATGTAAGGAAATGAGTAAGTTATTATTTAACAGCATATTATTTAAAACTGTAGTAATAGTTTTTAAAACTGGGTTACATTTCACAAAATAGGTACATGACTGAGAACCTCCTAAACCTATGATTAATAATCATTCAAAATCCAACACAAATGCACTTTTGAATAAAAATGTGATTTTCTTTCTTGTTTATTGTTGCTTTTTAATGAAACTTGCGCGCATTCAACTGTTGACAGAATGTATAAAGCCAAAAAAACTTTCTTTCTTTTTTAGCAGATGTCTATTTTCTTTTGATATATTTTGTGTTCAAATATTCGTACATGAACATATACTTGGACATGAAATTTTCTTCATATATTAATTTTCCTTTGGCTTAGTCCCTTTATTTACCAGGGGTCACCACAGCAGAATGAACTGCCAACTTATCCAGCAAATGTTTGCCATCTAACCAGGCTGGGACTTGAACCAGCGACCTTCTTGCTGTGAGGTGACAGTGCCAACCACTGAGCCACTGTGTCACCCCATTGAATTTTATTATTATTTTTTATTTTTTTAAGTTTCGTCACTTTGGAATTAAGGTTCTTTCTGTGTTTTGAGTAATTTCGAGATATTGAGCTTCAAAATATTTGCATTCCACATAGATAACAGTATGTGTTTGTTTTTAAATAAAAAGTTTTTAAATGTAAAAAACTTATAAAAAAAACATCCCATAATGTTAATAAGCTGTCATTTAATAAGAATATGTCAATAACTCAATTTTGACAAAAATGTCAGATAGAACCTTATAATTTTAAGGTGACGGTTGGTGCTTATGGGTCATTAAAAAAAAAAAAAAAACACAGGTAGGAAAAGTAAAATGTAACAAAAGTGACAAGAGTATCAAATTCATGAAAAAGCACAATTATAATGTTCATTTACATTTCAAAACCATGTTGTTCTTTTGAACATTCCGTTCATCAAAGCAAATCAAAATTTCCATACATATACATTCAACACAGCCCTTTTTTGAATATTGAAATAAAAAACAACTCCAAACATTTTTCTTTTTTTTTTAAGAAAATTATTCTGTTCATCAAGGCAGCATTTATTAAATGCAAATTTAAAATATAATATTTATAAAAATTTTAAATAACTGCTTTTCTATTGTATGTAGTTTCAAATGAAAGTATTACCCCAGTTATTATTTATCTTATTACTATTACTATTAACAATAATAATAATAATAATAATAATAATTATTATTATTCATATTAAAGTGATTTCTGAAGGATCATGTGATTCTGAAGACTGGAGTAATGAAGCTAAAAATTTATCTTTAAAATCACTGGAAATTTTTTTTTTAATTAAATTATAAATTACTTTTAAACAGTTCTTTTCTAGTGCAATAACATTTCACAATTTTACAATTTGTACTGAATTTTGATTAAATAAATGTAGTCTTGTTGAGCAGGAGAAGCTTATTTTAAAACATTTGACAGGTAGTGAATATATTTCCATATGCATTACAGTTAACTGACATAAATTACAACAAAAAATGGTTGAAAGCAATGTGGCTTTTTGTTTATAATAACCTGCACTTTATTAATGAAAAGTTACTGCTTTAATTGTGTACGATTATTAAAACTGTTACAAAAACAACCTTTATAAGAATAATGTTTACCAATAATCTATTCAGTAAAATTCAAACCACAGTAAATAATCTCTGTAAAATAGTAAATAGAGCTCCAGGAAGGTGTATTATGTGAACCAACCGACAAAGAGCTATTTTGTCCTTTTTTTTTTCCTATTCCCCCTTGTATGTACACTTATGTAGCCTTTCTAAAATGTTCAAATAGGGTCAATTTTCCATTCGCGCCAGCTTTAAACATACCGCAACTCAGCTTTGTTTATCAAGAGCGAGGGAGAAATCAGTATATTTCATTTAGACCTACGACCAACAGCTCCTCTTTGCTGATGCAAATGAGCAGCGGATCACGTCCTGTGGGGAAAACACGCGCGAGAACATTCTCAACTTTCCATTCATAATTCATTCTCACTTTACCATCCCACTGCCCTCTGGTTGATAATGATACCGCGTACGTATCTGAAGAGCTCCCAGCTCGCTTCTCTTTATGACAGTACACATGTTTCCCAACAACTAATAACTGCAGAGCGAGGAAACACATTCACACATCCCAGCTCGTTCGTTTGCACACACACACACGCACACACGTCTGCGAGGGCATGCACGCTCAGTAAAAAGCTACAGGCACACGCATTAAGGTGCATCTATGGCTGGCAGAGTCTGGCGAGGTCCCAAGAGGCTGCAGTTTTGTAGCGTGCGAGTTGGGAGTGTGGGAGTTCAGGCGCTTCAGCAAAGTCTCAGCCATGAAACCAGCTGCTGTTAGCGTCTGTTAGCCAGCCATCACTTTACCCCAGCACGCCAGCAAACATATTATACTCCTTTCTCACACACATGCACACACACCTACTCCCCATGTATCCTCTCTGGAAAGCGCAAGTCATTGTCTGCTCCGCATTGTCTTGTTTATTGTATCATTTCTATCTGGCGCAGATTTATTTATAATACTGCATACATCAGTTTGCAGCTCAGCTCATGGGGCGTCTTGTTTATCTTGCAATTGCTCATCAATCATTTCCGGGGACGAGTCTCGGGGGCTGATGGGGCCCATGTCTCCCTGCACTGTGGCCCCTGACAGCACCTTTTAATTAGAGATGCCAGTCAAAATCCGTCATGCAAGATCCTCTCTCGTTCTCCCTCAACCGATTTGTCAAGTGCCATGGGTAGTTGCTACCATCTTGCCTTTTTTTTTCCTTATAAAACCACAATTTGTCATGTGCTGACCTTACCGCTAATTAATTCTGCTACTAATCCCATCTCCTATCTCTCGGTCTTTGTTTCCCATTCTATCATGTCATCTTCATCCTGACGCCGCTTTCATTCAACGTGCTGGGCTCTTCTGTGTGAATGTCATTCTGAAAGACTTCCTGCTGCATCGCATTCATTCTCCCTCTCCCGGTTTTCTCTGTGAGCTTGGGACCATGTCGGCGCTGTTTAAGTCATTAATCTGCTCGCTGTGATGCCTGCTGTGGGATTGAGCCTGAGATACAAGGATAGGAAGTGGAATGGAAGGCGCTGGAGAAAAAGAGTTCGCACGTCGAGTTTCAATAGCCTAGTCAGATTTCACTCCACAGACAACAAACACGTATATTAGCATATACTTCATGTAGGTTGTATTGTGTCACAGCAGGGCGCATGTTCAAGGAAAGTGTGCTTTCATCTCTTTCGCATTATTGTTAAATTGTTCTTTCTATATGCACATGACTGGTTCTGAAAGCCAGTGGATACTGGAAATTATTTTTTCAACATTTTTGAAAGAAATTTTCCCATGTGAATTCAGGGAAAGATTGAATTTTGTTGTTTTTGCTGCAGAATGTTTATTGTTATTGTTGTTTTTTATTGTACATTTGCACTTTAAAAATATGGCTGTGATTTTAACAATAAACAACTGTAAAAAATGCAACAGTAAAAATTTGTAACCTAGTTAAGGGCAAGATTCCTTAATATACACTACCTGACAAAAGTCTTGTCGCTTATCTAAGTTTTAGGAACAACAAATAATAACTTGACTTCTAGTTGATCATTTGGTATCAGAAGTGGCTTATATGAAAGGCAAAGGGCTTTAGACTATGCTTACTTTACCAAAATAAAACATGATCTTGCCTTGAATTTTAATTATTTTATTGGGGCAGTAAGGTCTGACTTTGCTTAGACATAAGTCTTGTCAAAATTATGTATGTCTTGTTAATATTGTATAAGACTCTCGTGAACTTTGAGGACTGCATCCATACATCGTCTGCAATGTCTCAAATAACTTATTAATGAAGTCATCTGAAATGGCAAAGAAAGCATTCTTGCAGGACTTCCAGAGTTTAGCAAGATTCTTTGGATTCATTTTCAATGCTTCCTTCATCTTACCCCAGACATGCTCAATAATGTTTAAACTGGTGACTGGGCTGGCCAATCCTGGAGCACCTTGACCTTCTTTGATTTCAGAAACTTTGATGTGGAGGCTGAAATATGAAAATGAGCACTATCCTGCTGAAGAATTTGCCCTCTCCTGTGGTTTGTAATGTAATGGGCAGCATAGATGTTTTGATACCTCAGGCTGTAGATGTTGCCA